TCTTCTCCCCCTCCCTCACCTCTCCCTGTCCCTGTGCTCAGCTTGCCCCCTATCTTTTCCCCTTGCCTATCCCCTCTGGCTATGGTTTCGAACCCTGGTCCTCTGTCGTTCAAGCTGAGCTCGCTCCTCCTATGCCACTGCCTCCCACCCGAAAGTATCCTCTCACCTCGCTTCTATATAAATCGACTGACTGGCTGGCCTGACCTGGCTGGCTCCTCCCCTTCTTCCTCCTCCCCCTCCTCGAGTTTCGAAATTTTAACTGCCAATTTTACCACTATAAGACCTAAGGTAGGTTTCTTGTATCGGTTCTATTAAAAGAAGGTTATTTCGAGGATATAAATTTTTCTCTACTATTACGTTGTGGTCGATTTGAGTGAGTGGACGACTCACCACACTGGACTGGACCGCACCCGACGTCTGTATGTATGGGAAGAGCTCTCTATGAGCCGTCCTAGGGAGTCGCAGTATGTGCATGATTCCCTAGGTGTCACCTATGCCAAGATGTCTGACCATTCTCTAGCATATAAAGTATGGATCTCGCCGACCACCGCGATAACATCACACTCCAAACCTTCGGTACTATCAACCCAGTAAGTTTATAACACAACCGCCGGAACGTCACATGTCTCGTCACTTCGTCTGCAGAGCAGTGAAGCAGGCAGCGGAGGAGTTGCTCCAGAGCTTTTGTAACCCTTTTTCAAGTGCGTTTTCCAACATGCCTAAGGCTGCAATTAATTGCAGTAATCGTGGTGGCTCCAGTGACACAACAAAGAGATCGTATATTTCATACCTAGAGCGGCTGGTGGCGCTATTGTAGTGTGAGGTTTGGAAGCCATGATAGTTGGGTCATTCAAATATTGTGTTGGCGGCCTTGCAGTGTAGTCTCGTCACTTCGTCCGTCGCCTCCTCAACGAGGTCTCGAAAACATTGGGAAAAAGTTCACGCAAAAGGTTGTACGGATTCCGACGTTAATTAACGTCATTAGCACCACCGAGGTCACTGTGTTGTTTCCATCTAATTATCTATCTAATTAAGATAATATCTATCTAATTAATTAATATCCATAGTATCTATCATTCCAGATCAACTGCATCCTAAAGTGGTACCCCGATTAGTCAGATTAGTTAGTCACATTTCCTCGTCATTAAACCCGGACTCCTTGGGTAAGTATTACCGATTGCAATTACTAACTTGTGAACCGGGCATGTATCATATTTTAGGCCTAATCCTTACTTGTTTCAGATTTCCCTTAGGCAAGCCAAATCTCCTAAAAAAGTGGGTGCAAGTTATGAGACGAAACGACTTCCATCCAACAAAGACTACCTATCTATGTGGGAAACACTTCACAGAGGAAGATTTTGAGGTTGGGGGACTCATCAGAAGGCTAAAGCCAGATGCCATCCCTAGAATTTTTTATTTTCCAAATCATTTGCTCTTAAGGTGTGTTTTGGATTTGGCATGAAATGATGGCTTTGAACGTTGGACACCTTTACCATTTGGTTCAGGTTTTTGCTGCCCTCCTAAATTAGCTTTTTATTCTTTTTACACCATGAGTAGGTAATCAAGGAATGGCAAGGCCCAAAAAAGAGGAAGAGGTCTCTCAGTCCTGTGATGGATGGAAAGTTAGTGGCAACAGAGCATAATTATTCCAATTCCCTTGAAGTGAGCCCAAGGAAGATGAGGAGGGAGATGAAGAAACTGAAAGCAAAGTTTGAGAGACAATTGACAACTCTGAGACAGAAAACAGCACGGAAAAGTGGCAGAATCGTGCAGCTGAGTAAGGTAATTCAGGAGATGGAAGAAAAAAATATTCTCAGTGATCAAGGCATGGCATCAATTGAAAGGTTCAAACCTCTGGCCCAAACTATCTTCCTGAATGAGAAAAGAAAACTGTGAAACTACAAGGCAAGGTAATAGGTCAGTATTATGGAATAGCCTTATTATAGTCTCATGATTGACTTAGAGTTATACATCTGAAGGAAAGTGAGACTAATTTCAGTTTCCCCCCTTCTCTTTTATGCTTTCTGCTTGCTAACTTATGAATTTCTGGCTATTATCTACTTCCCAACTTTTTTTTCCTCAAAACATCTAACAGTACTTTGCTTCCCATGTTCCTACCTGCTACATAACCTTTGTAATACCTACTCAGATGGTCATTGGGATATGGATGTACATTTCTTGTTGTATTTGCTTCACATCTCACTCTCCCTCTCTTTCACATGATAGTACCACTTGCTACTAGTCTCCTTTTGCACTTCTTTTGCATATCTTGCCTTGCTGACCAAGTATAGGTATGATCCAGAAGTCAAGCGGTTTGCCGCAACAGTGGCCTTTTATTCGCCCAAAGCCTATTAGTTCTTGCGTGAACACTTCCACTTGCCAGACCAGAGGACCCTGAGACTGCAATTAACCAGCACAAAAATGAGGCCTGGCTTCATTTGTGAAGCATTTCATGCTTTATCAAAACTTGATGGAAAACATACTTTCTGTGCTGTCATGGTAGATGGCATGGCCATAAGAAAGGTGAGATGAGACTGAAGTATACATCAGGGATGTAGATATCTTCACTACAGAGAGAGGTTTCATAAACAACTAATTATCCCTTCTTTCCTTCCATGGGTTGCATGCACACAGGGCTTGGTGTATGACAGTGCTAGTCAGCAATTTGAAGGATATGTGGATTTTGGGGAAGCAGGAACTGGGACAGCAGATGAAGCTCTAATTGTCATGGTCTCAGGACTATTGTCATCTTGGAAATTACCCTTGGGGTTACTTCCTCATCAAGGGTTGCACAGGTAGAAGCATCATGAATTGAATAATTGCTGTTGATTCCTAATTGACAATGATATACAATGATTCAAGATATTAATCTTGTAGGGCATCAACTGGCTGAGATAATCTCTCAGGCTGTATCAAAGCTGCTGGAAGTTGGGATGTCTCCAAAGGCACTTGTCTGTGATGGCCTGAGGGCCAATCTCACTATGATGACAGAACTGGGTGCTAGACTCAGTCCCCCAGAGAAGCCATATATTGAGGTACATGGAGTGAGATTGTGGGTTTTCATTGATGTCTGCCACTGCCTGAAGCTGATGAGGAACTACCTTGCATCATCTAAGAAGTTTTTGCTTTGTGGAAAGGTGATGGCCTTGGCTCTTCTGACTTGAATACTCTGATGATGGTGATCCATACACTTTAGATAGTTGTTTATCTTTATCTACAGGAAATCAAGTGGATTTACATCGTAAAGCTGATAGAATTGCAAGAGCAGATGAAATTGAACATCGCCAATAAGCTGTCCCGTAGACATCTGGAATGGTATCGGCAGGAAATGAAAGTCTCTCTTGCTGTTCAGACATTTAGCAGCTCAGTGGCTACTACTCTACACTTTCTTGAGATGAAAGGACACCCTGATTTCCTTCATTGTGGACCCACTGCAGATTTCATTGCAGATATTGACAGGTATGGTTTAGTTAACCCTATAAAAATGGGATGTTGTGAGTGACAAATGATTTCATGTCGTTGCTGTTCATGTGCAGACTCTTTGATGTCTTGAATTGCTCAAATCCGTATGGGAGGGGCTACAAGTCTCCTCTTAGACCAGAGACAGAGTATGTCTGGCAGCTGTTCCTTAATGAAATGGAAGGGAAGCTGGGAAACCTCCT